TTTTTTTTTTTTTTTTAGCTTTACGCCTGGTAGGTCGCCCCTCTCCTTGTCATGAGCAGTTTTTTACGGTTTCCCAAAATAAAGATACTATGGGAATATAAATTGCCTTTACAGCAATTGGCTTAACCGTTTGTCATTCATCGGGATTAGCCAGTCGATGGTTAAAGCGCACATCAATCATTCTCGAGCGTCCCTTCCTTTATTTAAACACGCCTGGACGTGGGCTGCTGGAGATATTATAGGCTGAGGCTCGGATTGCAGGGTGTGCGCAAATAACGAAGAGCGGTGATGTGGATTAAGTGTAGTAGGCCTGCCTGTGGTTACAACCGAGGGAGGATGCGTAACGCCCAGTGGGCTCCGGGACCGGGTCTAAAGATGCTGCTGTAGTGGTTTTAAGAGTGGAGAGGTTGAAATAGATGGAAGAACAAAGCGAGCGCACAATATCTGCACATTGAATGTAATTTATTGAGGAAAAGAGCAGAACAGACATGATTTGGCACATGTAGAAAAGTGCATCGACACCAAAACAATTTAGTTCAATAAGCCATAAACACTAACTCAAAATACATCTTAACTTTCTCTTCAGAAACTATAAAGGGCAGATGCGTGTGTTATGATACAAAGAAGGACTTCTAATTAGGTCTTAAAAAAGTAAAATGATGGAATTTTCTTAAAAAACATCCATTCTTGCAGGCCTGTGTAGAAAAACTGAACTTCAACATATCACAGCAACTACCTGACAAGCAAACATGTATATACTGGAAATTGCACCATCATGGCATGAGGATAGTCTTCTTAGTGAGGAAAAAGCATGATACCATCAATGACAGGACCAACCAGAAGCAGTAATGGATTTTGACAGACAGCTATAGTCTATTATTTCTTATATTTGTCCGTTTTTTTCAAACGTGCAACTATCATAGTTAGTCTCAGACTATACTATCAAGATTTCAAAAAGAACCATTACCATTTATTACCTTAGCAAAGGATACTAAATACATCATCCTCAACACCAAATCCATCACATTTTTTTCTGACCTTAGTTAGAATATCTTATATTTCCAGCCAGTTTCCTAAAGTTAGACAGTTGTAGAAGAGTAGAGTTTCTGCGAGTCAGCGTCACTTACACAGCCGACAGGTTTTAGGATGCAGCTTTTAGGCTGCAGCTTTTAGGCTGCAGAAGTTAGGGAGTTGAAGTAACCACCAACAAGCAACCCAACATTTAACACTTAGAAGTAGGTAGTAACAGATATGATCCGACATGTGAACAAAAAAAGAGGCACTGTTAGATTCTAACCTATTTCCCTGTGCCGAATTGAACCATGGTACATAGATACCTTCTATCTATCAAAAGAGTTTTGTAGGCTAATGAGGTTTATTATTTTTTTCATTGGTAAGACAAAGGTGTAAAAACTACCATAACAAGGAAGAGCATTCAAATCAAGATTACCTTGATTTTTGTGGAAGAGGGACCATACTCCTCTTGCTTACATGAATAAAAAGTGCCTGCGCTGAATCAACGACTATAACAATAGCTTGTGGGACACACAAGTGTATATAATTTACTCACCTGCAAGGCAAACAGACCATAAGGTTGATGGCACAGGGTAAGATATGCCTTGTGTGAAACTTGGGGAAAATATAAACACATATATTTTACAAGGGTGCTCTATCACATTTGAATGTACAAAGAGATGGTCAGTTTGTCTTTTTATATCAGAACTTTGTGAAACTCACTAGTTTTAATACGAAGCTGTGTTTACACACACAGTCTCCAAGGGTTTCCCGTATGATGCCATTACACTGATGGCTAAAGGGAGCATTTCCCTGCTTTATGAGCGGAAATGTTGACAGCAATATTCTGAATTGTAATGCGAGTTACACACTGTACAGAATGTTTCTTGTTCCCAACTGCTGTTGCAAACAGGACCAAAAAGGGTCGTCCTGTCGTCCATTGTCACTGTGGGTCAGTCAGTCAGCCTAAATGGACCAAGGTCATGACTGTAGTGTACTCATGCTGCAGGCTATCCGTGTCAGTGTCACACAGCGTGTAGTCATCTTTGATGATTCGGTCGCAGCCAATCTCGCCGTTGCCGAACAGGCCGAAGAGCGGGGTGTTGGGGAACACCTTGTGAAAGGCGTCCGCCTCTACATTGGTCTGGTTGTTGTAGTAGTTCTGGCCTCTCCCCACGCAGGCGAACATGAACCCTAGGGTGTTCCTCTCTGGAATCTTGGCTGCCTTTAGCCGCCGGATTGTGGCTTCAGCAGCCTTTGGGTTGCTGACGTCTTGGTCCAAGAGCACAGATGCACCCTGCACCTTAGGGCCACTCAGGGCCAGGCCGACCACGCCGTATGCACCCTGGCTACAGCTACAGAGTGACAAATGACAGGAGAGGGGAAACAGTTCGATAATTAGCTTAATTGAATGAGAAATTTCACTTCAAAATGAGGTGAGATTACCCAGTAGGTATGGAAAGTCCTTCAGTCAAAACTATGTTTGAGGAAGCCTTGTAGTATTTGAACTTTAGGAATTTGCACAATATCACTTACAATTGTTATGTTTGTACAAAAGCATTCTTCCTAATATTACTAAGAAACTCTTTAATTTTAGTGAAGGACATTAACTTACCAGTGTCTGGTAGGAGAGAAGACACTTTCTACCAGCCCTCCAGCAACGAGAGCTTTGCTCTTGGCCAGCGGCTCCAGTATCTGGCCGAGGAAGCGTGCTCCTCCAGATTTATATGCCTCATAGACAAATATCAGAACCACGCGCAGCTCTGGGTTGTCAACTAGTCCTGGAAAGAAAATACAACAAAGGAGTGATATAAAAATAAGCTCTTGAAGATTTTAGAAGTTTTGCATTTCTCTGTTTAGATTTTTCTGCACTCACCTGCTTCTTTCAGGGCTTCTGGGGAGATGGACTTCTTGCAAAAATGGAAGGGCTTGATGTTGACACCTTCCATGCTGGGGAACATGACTGCAAAGCCAGCCTCCCCCTCCTGGTACTCCTGAGGAAGGCTGGAGCAGGAGCCACTAGGAGTCACTGCACAGAGGTGCGAGGATGAAGTACCTTATAATATTAAGTTACATGCACCATGCACACATGTCATGTTTTCATTCCAGCCGAGCCGTAAATGAGTCCCCCCTCTAGGGCTGACTAGTGTACCTATCACTGCAATCAGCTGTTGTAGTGTTTATTTGTAAGGAAAATCTGCAGAATCTTCATTACAGAGGACTAAGAAACACTTAGTGTATGTACCGTAGATGCGCAGTGAAACCTAATTATTCGAAATATCTACATTTTTTCCAGAGTTTACATAACTTGTTTGATACCAAGTTGAGTAAATGTCTGGAAGGGTGTATGGGCGCCTATTACTGATTTTTTCTTAAGACTCCTATTCCTTCCCTGTATGCAACCACCAGTGCTCTTATTGTAGTTATTGCAGTCTTAGAGAGCAGACATAACATTTTCCTCACTAACAAGTTAGAGGATTTTTCCCTTTTGATTTTGGTGCAGACAGTTCTTAGAGTCATCATCTAGTGGCCATTAGAGATACTGCATCTAAAGGCACTGATGTATTGACCACAACAATCAAGTGTGGTGGTTCCCGCTGGGTTGGGAATCATTTTCAAAACCGAGGACCGCAAGAGGAACAGTGGTCGAATGAGTAGACTCTGAAGCACATTGACTGAAAGACACTTAAAAAGGTCCAGTGTGTAA